CAGAGTAGCAGGGTTGGGGATTAGTTTAGGATCTGACTGAGACAGAGGAGAGGAGGGCTGGCCACATAAAGAGATGACTGGGCAAATATGGGCACATACATCAATATCAGCGTCGAGCACATTATAGCAGCACCCAGCAGGGCGAAACACATACTGTAGACAGCCGAGGAGATTTTCTTTGTTTATGCATGACTGGAGAGAAGGAAATTAATATCAGTGAATTGAATCCGCTCCTATGGAAGATCTTTATGCTTCCCCAAACCTCAGACTCACACGCCAAAATAGATGCAAGTGACGCACACTCAAATGCACACACACACACACACACACACACACACACACACACACCCTGCTGAAAGACAGGCACTAAAATAACCTCTGTTCCAGCTGGTGGACTGCTGAGGCTCCTGCTGGGCTGTTTTAATGGGGAAAATTAGCCAAGCAGAAAGGTGGATCCTGTTTGTTATGCTCCACTGTCCCCCTTCCACACAGTCGGCCAAGGAGGCATCCTCTGTTGTACTCTCTCTCTGTCTCTCTGAGCTCTCTTGACATTGTGTATCTCCACCAGCTGCTGCTGCCTTCCTCTCCTCCTGCCTTCATACTCCAGGCACAGGCACAGATACATGCATAGGATGCGTATCACACACACACCACCAGCAGTAGCAACAGCAGGAGCAGAGTAATCTCAAATATGCAAGTCCAAATCAAGGAGGAACTTGCCAAATGATTTATTTTTTTAATATTCCACCAGTGTTACCATCCTCATCTCATTTACTGCTCCTGCTCCTGCAAGTGTGCTCACCAGCAACTGTACGTATCCCACCCACACGTGTATACCAAAACAAAAGTGAGAAAAGGAAAGGGGGGGTGGGGTGTAAACAAATGAGAGGTTTGCATGATATGGGAGTCAGAATGAGAGAGAAATGAGAGTGAGAGGTGAGAGAGTGAGGGATGAGAGGAGGATATGCAGAGGGGTGAAAAGCTTCTTTGTTCTGGATGCCCTTGAGACAGCTGACATCGCCACAATAAGACCTTCTTTCAGAGGGAAAAGAGAGGGAGTCAGAGCAAGAGAGAAAGAGAGAAAGAGAGAAGAGAAAGGGAGGAGGATTTAGTACTTTTGGCATACTGAACTAAGTAGTAGTAGTAGTAGTAGATAGTACTAGAGGTAGTAGTGTCACTTTTATGTGTGTACCTGGATTTTTCTTTAAAGGAACTGCTGGTCTCATGTATCATTCCTATCTGGTATAATAACAGTTATCATGCATGCGCAGTATCCTGTTTTTAAAGGGAAAATTACAATAGCTTCGGTCATATTTCTGTACTTTCAACCATCATTTTATCAGTTATGATAAAAATGTACGAGCCAAAGTAATTGCTGTGATCTGGGCATGATGTGACTTCATTAAAAAGAAGTGTGGCAGGGGCAAATCACAAGCAGTCGGACAGGTTTCAAACACACTACTAGAGCTCTTATTAGACATTGAATACATAAGGTTACTGGTTTATCTATTTGTTACAGTCATTTGCACAAAGACGCCCATTACGTAAATGTTCTTTATAGTTTTATTCGGACATAACAGGACCATTATGGTATGAGCAATGATGGATTTTAAAACTTATTTTGCCATTGAAGCCTTAATTAATGACCTTGATGGAGGACACATACCTGCACTGCTTACAGAGAGTCCACTAAAATGTGCTAATTCATTATATAGAAAAATCTGCTGCCTGTTTTATAAATCTGTGTTCAGACAGAATGCGAGGCGAAGTTTAGGGCTGGCGAGATTGAGATTTAGACACAAATTCGTCCATGGCAGCATAAATTGATGCAAAGATGCATCAATGTGAGTTGAAAATGTTAAATGAATCTACCTTAAAAACGTACGGAAAAAGGAGAGACTGGAGGGTAAAAACACTGATTGGTGAGCTCATTCAGAGGCTGAGCTGCCACACAAACCAACCTTGATATCACCAAACAGCGTATGAATAACATATGTTCTCACGTGTTATCACATCACCTTTTCTCCTTTTTGTATGTCATTTAGTCGCTACTGGCGTATACTGTGCAGAGATTGCAAGAAATAAATATCAGGTGACCTGGTATAAAGACAAAGTGTACAGGGAGCAGGTTCACGTGGATGTGTCACACAATGCTGTTTGTGTCCTGTGTGAAACCAAACTCAACATTGATATATTTTTACTCATTTAATATAACTTAACGTACCTATTTCAACCCAAACCTATGATATACTCCTAAACCTAACCAAGTAGTTTTGGTGCCTAGACCTAACCAAACTGCCATCATTTCACAATGTTAGCCATGTGTTTACTATTGTTACCGTAACAACGAAGGTCACCTGACAAAGGTCACCTGACGTCTGCAAGAACAAAACTCTGCAAGCAAAAAAATGTGGCCTCTTTAACAGTGTTAAATGTCATGCCATGACATCACGACAAACACCATCACAGTTGGTGCGTCAGTTGCTAGCTAGCTTGCAGCTAAGGTCTGTAAATCAACAATCAATCAAGCATTCCTGCAAACGACAGGCAGGCAAAGGTTTGCTTCACTTTCTCTCTGAACTTTGACAGGGCAAGAGCAGAGAACGCCAAAATGTTAAGTTTGAACTCTTGTTTAATTCCTGTTTCCTCACGTACTGTATGTGAAGTGCATCTGCTGGATATTCAGTGAAAATCCAAAATATATATGGTTGTGACTGTTGGTCTGATTGTTAATCTAGTTTACACACACAGTGTCCAGTTTAGGAAGATAACTTGATAATAATAGTAACTTGACCATGACTCAGGTGCTTTTTTTCAGACGTGGACCAACATGCAGACTGGCCCTCACATTTTTACATGATGAAAGGTGGCGTGAAAATTACTCAAACTGTCAGTTCTAAACATGCATCACAGTTTCAAATTCAGTTTCATGCACAGATTCCACTTTGACCTATCATACTTAATTGTGTATGTTTTGTAATGGATGATCGTTACCATCATTTTAGGTCACTAAACTTTACAGTTTTAAATTTAAAACCAACAGTTGTGATAATAACTCATCGCCCGACCGTTTGTGTTTCTTCTCCCATCTGACTTCATTGTAGTGATGTCGCCTAATCTAATCCCAGCTGTTACTTAAAAATGACTATGACAGTAAACCCCAGCTCTAATAAATCTGAATTTTTCCTTTACACAGGTTGTGAAAATACATCTGAGTGTTGAGTATTTTCTCTTCACTTAACCCCACTAGCAGAAATACAGAGGGAGGTTAGGAGGATTAAATTTATATTTTCTTTCCTGCAGAAAAAAAGGCTTTTCGATGCAAGAAGCACCACCATAACTTAGACGCTTCTAGTTTTTACAGCAACTCAGTCCAACGACTCACTTGCTGCTTAGCTTTTGTCACATCCTGTATCACACACACACAAAAGCTCGCACACAAACACACTTTAGAAATCTGAGAGTGTGTTAGACCTCTCTTCCTCCTCACCCAGAGTTCCTGGCCCCAGGGGGTGGAGGGTCTCTTCACCCGTCTTACAGGTCCAACCCAAATACACACACACACACACACACACACACACTGGCAGCAGACCACATCAGAGGGGGTCCATTCCTCCCCAAGTCCACAGGTCTCTGGATAAACATATTATTCTGGATTAAATGTTTCCCATATTTGTTATTCTTCCCTTCGAGACTCCAGGTGGAATTGGTATGAAACCAAAAATCATATGTACATTCCTTTGAATGAAAGAGCGGGCCGAGGGGAACGCTCTGAACGGGGAACGAGAATTCCCTTTCGGAGCGAGAACTTGTAACAACATTTGTGCAGATTCTTCGATTGCCCCAGATTCTTCGTTACACATCTAACAAAGGCTGCGCTGTGTTGTCGAGAAGTGGTCTTTTCCCCCTGCAAATCTCACCTCACTGCTACCCAGAATTCTCTACAAAACCAGGAAGTGTGTGTGCTCGGCGGAGGTCCACTGCTGGCTCTGAATCAGATCCAATTGGTTCAAGAGGCACTGATCCCCACAGGGATGCTGCAGTGCGAGAATGTGTTTTACTCTCCAGCGGTATCAGTTTGAATACAGATAGAAGGTGACAGCTGAGCAGCAGCTTCGGCCACTGTGAGGCCTAAATTGAAGACTTTAGAGGCAGAAGGTGATGATGATGGAGTCTTGCTCAGTTATGCAATTATGTCCAAATTACTGCCAGAGCCTCTTGCCCTATCAGAGCCCGGGTTATAGCCTTGAGCGAGCCAATCGGTGAGGTGTTGATGTGTGGTGAGCGATCACAGACTACCCACCTATAGCCCCAGTGGCCATGGTAATATTATCTGAGCGATAATGGTGGATGTATGGATGGAGCCACATGTTGCTGGGGAGAACAGATTGTATAATCTTTTCTATCAATCACCAATTAAAAAAAGCAACCAACCTCCTCCAGTTTCAGAACCGAGGCGAGAACTTTCATTTAAGATTTAACATTCTACGTTCAAGTATTTGCAGTCAACACATCATCCTGTCACAAGTGTGTCAGAAAATCACGCATGATCTGATGCTCTTGAACGATCTCTGCATCAAACATTACCTTCCTGCATACTAATGTAACCGTGGGCAACAGCAGAGGCACACAATAGGCTGAAACCCGCAGCAGCACGTTCGTTCCTTCCTATTGTGTTTGTTTTTGTAAACTGCACAGCCCCAACTTTGCGCAGCGGTGGGACGTGTGTTGTGGACAGAGGGTTCTCACTGCAGTGTGTTTGATGTCTCTCTCTCGCTCTCTCTCTCTGGACCCTGGAGACATTCCTCATGCATAATCGCTGTGTGTCTTTCTGATCTGCCTCTATGCTGGTGGAGGTTAATGCACAGAGCTACACACACACACACACACACACACACACACACACACACACACACAAACACTCTTAAATTAGAGGCAAGCGAAACTCAACAATCTTATTTCCCACAAATAGCACAGAATAAAGCAAACGAAGGCAGAAAGGAGTTTTGTTATGTTTATTGATGTGATATAAGAACCAGTACAGCTATTCAGGCTTCTCTCATCATCTCACATATGTCATTTAGCACTGTGCTGTGCTAAACAACTCATTTGAATATGGTATTTTAAACACAGTAACACTGCGCTCAGCTTAATAAAACCATCTACTCCTGTAATTCATCATACTTTGCCAAACATTAAGCCGGGAAATCAGGGGAAGTGTGATTGGAGGGAGGGACTCTCCTGTAAGGCTCAGTATTCTGGTGAGGACTCTCTAACTGTTGAGCAGAGGGGGCAAAGGGGTCACAAGGTGTGTGTGTGTGTGTGTGTGTGTGTGTGTGTGTGTGTGTGTGTGTGTGTGTGTGTGTGTGTGTGTGTGTGTGTGTGCGCGTGCGTATGTGTGGGTGTGGGTTTGGGTGTGCGTGACGGCAGCATCACCAGTCCTCCAGGGCTCAGCAGGCTAATTAATAATGAATCCCAGAGAGTCTGTGTTTGAAATGCAGATGTGCAACTGCCGGCTCCGCCTGCTCCTTCAGAGGGACCTGTGTGTGTGTGTGTGTGTTTGTGTGTGTGTGTGTGTGTGTGTGTGTGTGTGTGTGTGTGAGACTGTGTGTGTGTGTGTGTGCGTGTGACTGTGTGTGTGTGTGGGGGGGGGGGGTTTGTGGGCCACAGGGGAAAGTTGGTTGCTTAGCTGAGGCAGAGAGCTCGCTGATATTCTGCATGAAATTCACTCGGGTTGTTCGTTAAACGTCGACCACATTTGATTTTTGAGAGACGGGAGAGATTTTCAGCACAGAGGGTCTGTCCTCTCTCTGTTCCTGAGTCCTTTCTCTTCCTCGTTGGTGCCAGCGGAGGCCTCAACCCCGAGCTCTTGTCTGCTCTCAGTACAGAAGAGAAGAAGAAGAAGGAGGGAAGAGGAGCTGGAGAGGGGCTGAAGAGCATACATTACATTTCTATAGACTCTCTACTCTTCTTCACTGCTCTCTGTTTAGAGGATACTGTGTGTTCATTTGTGTGTGTGTGTGTGTGTGTGTGTGTGTGTGTGTGTGTGTGTGTGTGTGTGTGTGTGTGTGTGTGTTGTGTTTGAGCAGTTTGAAGTTTAACAGATGGCAATGTTATGTAGATTTTTACCAACCGTGGCTCCTTCACTGACCCAGGGACAATATACCAGCCTCTTCTGCAAACAGCACCTGTAACACACACACACACACACACACACACACACACACACACACACACACACACACACACACACAAACACAAAGACACACACACAAAGACACGCACACACACACACACACACACACACACACACAAGCAGTGAATAATCTCTCTGACAAACATTCCTTTTGTTTGAGGGAAGGCAAGAGGGACAAACAGTTTCAATTCTGCTCAGGTGTTTCAAATTCTTGCACATAATAAAAATAATATTGCAACAATTGCTTTTGTGCAAGTGAGTGTTTGTTCTCGGAGACATTTCCAGGAGCTGAAAGACTCTCTGACCTCAGGCCTGTGTGTTGTTTTGACTGAATTCATTTTCTAATTAACTACAAACCAAAAAATAATTTTACGCTGGGATTTGTATCATAGTTGGATATCCAGACCTGAGACATTTAATTGAAGCTTCACGTTGCACTTGGTGCCTTTCAGTCGTTCCAGGAAATTAAACGACATGAATTTTGAAGGAACTTTGAAATTCAAAACAACTTTATCTGATTGAAAAAAAGAAAAAAAAAAGAATCAAGGGTGTTTAAAGTTTATCTTCACTGTGGGAATATTGTCATGACGGTCAATAAAATATAACACAGCTCATTCATTTATATTCCCTCGGATCTGTAGTATCATGTTTATACGGGTCTGATGGACAGATATGAAGTTTACTAGCGTTTCAGCTATATGTGTTTTTACATTAATTTTATCCTTAAACAAAGACTGAAACCTTTCATTATCATGTCACATTTAACGGCATAAAGTGGATGCCATTTCGAGAGCGCTGCTGGCGCCATTAGTGTACAATTAGGCCAATATGATCCTATTTGCGATGTTTCCCTAATTCAAAGTAAGACCATAATTTCAAACCAGTTCATGTGTGTTTGCATCCTTGTTTTTTGTCCTTAGATAAAACAAAACATTACACCTATCTGATAATCGGAATCAGTGAAAGCTTGGTTAATCTTTTAAACAAGAATTGCTTCTCTTCCGCGGTGGTGAAAATGAGTGGGGAAATATCCATAATTTAAATTAAAATTGCATATCATTTGAAGAAGTAAAATTATATCGCGCCAATACGGGGTTAAAAGCCTAAAAAAAAAAAAAAAAAAAATAGAATGTAATCCTACATTGGGCATGTTGTGATTATTGAATGTAAATTTCCATGTCTTTTCTCGCTAGATTTCGTGGAAACTTTTGGCAATTTCAACCAAATCCGAGCTCTAACCAGAGGCTGTCAGGTGAAACCAGCCGAACAGGACACACATATTCATTTTCTCCATGTAGATTAAAAAAAAAATCAGAGGACTTCACTCTAGACTTGTTGAACAGCAAAAAAAAAAAACCCTAAAAGACACAGCTAAGCCCCTCAGAAGCGCGCAGAGTCTCCGCACTGCAGACCAAACAAACGCACCGGGCCTCATGCATTATGAATGTACATTTACACTTGTGTGCTCTCATGGGATGATTTTTTAGCTTCCCATACATTCACTCATTGGTGTGTCCAATGTATTTCCTCCTCTTCACCCCTGCTGGACACACACACACACACACACACACACACACAGAGAGAGAGAGAGAGAGAGAGAGAGAGAGAGAGAGAGAGACACACAGAGAGGTGAGGTTTACATGACTGACAGATGGACATGTAGGACAGCCTGCACTTTTCTATCAGAAACAGAGTTCAAACAGACGTTTTTGTTTCAAGTTGAGGATGAAAACAAACGACTTGTCACCGACATGATGTGAGATTAGTTTCGGGTTTGTTTTTGAAGGGTCGTGTTGTTTAAACACGGTGTCACTGTCCTTTATTAGGGACGTCACGGGTTAATGGGAATATCGATTTTACTGTCTGTCTGGAAGCCTGTGAAGTGTGTGTGTGTGTGTGTGTGTGTGTGTGTGTGTGTGTGTGTGTGTGTGTGTGTGTGCGTGGCGGATTGTTAGGGATGAGAAAACAACTAGGCAGAGGTGACACGAAGCCTTTGGATTAAGACAAATAATCAACTCTTTAGCAGAAATCAAACCACAGGATAAGAATGAATTTGCAACCATGATTTAGCCCTAACGTTGTAATTTAGAAAATGAAGACCTGTTTTCTTCTTTTTGTATCCAGTTTAAAAACATGTCCGAAATGAATGTCAGGCCCACATAAATAATTAGGGCAAATACAGATTTATCTGTTTCAAACCTTTAACTTGAGGCCGTATCTGGCACACAGGGGCAGAGATTTAGGTTTCTTAGGGAAAGTTTTCAAAGGTCATGACACCGACTGACAGGTCCCGCCCTGAGGCCCAAGGCTGTCTCAATGCCAGACTAAAATCTGATTTATCTGTAGGCTGCAGCACCAAACTGAGGAGGAGAGCATTTAGGCAAAGGAAACAAAGTATAATGCAATAGAAAGGAAAAAAAAAACTATTTTCTTCTCACTCTCATTACTCTGAGCTGCACAATTAGACTTTCACACAAAACGAACTCCATTAACATTTGTATATTTTTTTTAGAAAGAAGTAGCATGGGCCTGCTGAATTCTGCTATTACAGAGAGATATGATATATTATAAAAGCCTATTAAAACTGACAGACACTGAGAAAGACAGACACACCAAACCCCCATAGGAAAATTATAATTTTATATAATAATAATAATATAATATTTTCTGTATGTTCTTTAGCGTATGTAAACATGGAGTCAGTTACCCCATCTAAATTAAATATTCCCCAAATGCAATGAGCCCAAATATTCCTGTTTTGTAAATGCCCATTTCAGTATGTTACAGACCTGCAACCAGGAAGTAATTAAATTCAATGCAGCTTTTAAAAACAAACAAACAAAAAAGACTATTAATCTAACATCACAATTACTTGTTCTGTCTAACTCTTTATCATGTCAATTTAAACGTTAACTAATAGTCCAATAGAAAGGGACGGTATGAGGAAAGGCATTTCATATTTGTTTTGTTTGTTTCTTCAAGATCACCTACTGGAGGTTTAAAGTTAACAAATCGTTTTATTTACTCCACTTTGCCTACAGCAAATAATCTGAGTCAGAAGATAATCACCAAAAGATTTACTCAAAGCCGCCAAATAAACACCAACAAGCAGCTAAACAAACACAACAACCCACCATAAACTGCCATTTTATAAAGACAAAATTAAAGAAATTATGAGCCATTAGTTTGTGTTATTTAGCAGTAATGTGCACCTCGGTAGACAGAGAGCCTGCAGTGCTGCATGGTGTAAGTGTAGCAGGGCTGGCTCGGGTTATCTGTGAATGGGCTCTTTATTGGAGGCGCGGAGCGGGGATTTGCCTTTTATTCGCCTCGCTATGGAAACGCGCTCGACGGCAGAAAAATGTTGATGTGAATAAAAGGAATCAGCACAAGGAGCGTTTCTAGAGAAGCATCTGTTACACTTAGAAACTTAGACTATCGAGAGCAATACAACCCCCTCTCCAAGTCCTCTCCTGTCTGCTTTATGCTCCCCCAAAATGCAGACTTTATTTTTGTAACGAGACAAAAAATATTTAGGCTGTATTTTTTTTTTTTTTTTTTTTTTTTTTGCGATCCTGAGCGTCGAAACAATTTTAAAAGCTCAAATTTGCTTAATATCGGCTAAACATGCTCAGATTTAATCAAACGAGCTTATAGGCTACGTCTATTTTCTTTAAATGGGGAATTCATCCTCCAAAAATCAATTCGCTCTGGTGCGTCATTTAATAGGACACGCAAGAAAATGCAGGATTTGTATAAACATGCCAACTACTACCATTGTGCTAGAAATGTACAATTTATTTTGCATACAATTCTGCATAATTTCATCCCATAGCGACTCAAAGGAAGCAATCCAGTTCAGCAAACTAGGCCACTAGAACAACCCTGCCATTCACATCAAATATTCAGCCACTTTTACTGAAATTTCAAAGAGTAAACTACATGAAGAATTTACGCACAACACTAATGCTGGAATTAGAGCACAACAACAAATAAATGCATCTATTGAATTGTTTCCCATTAATCTACAGGCCTATTGGCTACAACAACGTGAGGCTGTCCTGTCATCACCCTGCCCTCACTGCCGCTGTCTGTCATTCCTCCGGTTACCGAGGCCCTGTCCACCCTCCAGCGGCCCTGTCCACACACATCCACCCCGCGGTCAGCTCACCTGCTCCGGCCTCCCCTCTGCCTCTGTCTCCACAAGCACCTCCTCGGCTCAGCGCTCTTTAATGACTTTCTGGTGGCTGCAGCCTTCTTTTATTTCTCCCAAATGTATGAAAATGTATGCAAATTTAAATCAAGCTTAACCTGGGAGCTCGAGCAATATATTTAATGGAATTTCAAACCAATAAGGAGACTGGGACGCAGTCTTCTAATGGCAAATATAATTACGCAGCTCAGTTAGCTCTCAGATATGCAGATAGATCTTTTTCATCTCTGAGAGGACCTGATGAGATTCTTAAAGACTGGTAGTATGTGTATCCTTATGCGTGAGGACGCATTTACTTCTTTGAGAAAATGTAAAAATGATGAAGTTTTTAGGTTGTAAAGAAATGTCCTATGAACCCTGGTTCCATGTGTAGGAGCAAAAAGTGTGAGTCTGGCTGTGGGAGGAAGGTTACTTTTTTAATATCTTATGAAAACATTATTTTAAAGACCAGCTTGCAGTTATAGGCCCATGACATTCGTTATTTTGTCTGACTAAAATGAATGTGGATAATGATTGTCTTGTGCGTAAAACCCTTTTGCGTAAAACAGTATCTTGAGAGGCTCATTCTATAAACACCTGAGGAAGTATTCTCTAAAAGTTAATAATTAACAGTGAGAACTGCTCTTGGTTTGATTGTATCCTTCTAAATTAAGTGCTGGCACGTCTAACAAATGCCATTGCGCTTTAATCTCCTCCTTCGCACGCGCTCAAGGGTGACAGGAGCAGCAATAAACTCGTGCGTAAATCAGTTGGAAACTTTAATTAATAAACAGGAACTGCGCTCCACGCGCACATCGTTCCATAGCCAGACCCACTGGACCAGCAGTCCGACTCACTTCCGGTTCGACTGCCTGTAACCCTTTCCTATCCGCAGCTCTGCTTCCAGAGGCGGAGGTTCGGGTATCTGCGCCGTCATTGGTCGACACGCGTCGTCACTGCGTCTCAGTCGGTCTGTGAGTGGTGGTGGAGGCTGTCAGTCAGTGCCAGGCTGCTGCCGAGACTCCAGAGAGAGGGAGATGTCAGAGGCTGAGCTGCTCCCTCGCTTCAGTAGCGCTAGTGGGGTTCAGCAGCCAGCATGGCCACAGCTGCCTCCAGCCCCTACACCCTGCTCAGCTCCAGTCCCATGATCCACCCGGACAGCCAGGCCATGCAGCCTGCTAGCCCCTACAGAGGACACCAGAAACTCCTGCAGAGTGATTATCTGCAGAGCGTCCAGAGCAACGGACACCCCCTCGGGCACCAGTGGGCGAGCAGTCTGTCGGAGGGCAGCCCCTGGTCGGCCTCCATGGAGCAGCAGGACGTTAAACCAGGCCGAGAGGACCTGCAGCTTGGCATCATCCATCACCGCTCCCCGCACGTAGCGCATCACTCCCCTCATCACAACAACCATGGCAACCACCCGGGAGCCTGGGGAACTCCGGTGTCCCACAACTCCTCCATCACCAGCGGGCAGCAGATCAACATCTACTCCCAGACGGGCTTCACTGTCAACGGCATGCTGGACCACGGTGGCCTCACACCTCCACCCAACCCGCAGGGCCAAGGCATGCACCCGGGCCTCAGGGACACACTCAGCCCCGAGCACAGCGACCTCGGTGGGCACCACTGCCACGACCACTCCGACGAGGAGACGCCGACTTCGGACGAGCTGGAGCACTTTGCCAAGCAGTTCAAACAGCGGAGAATCAAGCTGGGCTTTACGCAGGCGGACGTGGGTTTGGCTCTGGGCACACTGTACGGTAACGTCTTTTCCCAAACCACCATCTGCAGGTTCGAGGCTCTGCAGCTGAGCTTTAAAAACATGTGCAAACTAAAGCCGCTGCTGAACAAGTGGCTGGAGGAGGCAGACTCGTCCACAGGCAGCTCTAGCAGTATAGACAAGATAGCAGCTCAGGGGAGGAAGAGGAAGAAGAGGACGTCCATCGAGGTCAGCGTGAAGGGGGTTCTGGAGACGCACTTTCTCAAGTGTCCCAAACCCTCCGCGCAGGAGATCACCTCGCTGGCGGACTCGCTGCAGCTGGAAAAGGAGGTGGTGCGCGTGTGGTTCTGCAACCGGAGGCAGAAAGAGAAGCGCATGACGCCGCCGGGAGAGCCGCCGCCGCACGAGGGACCCTATTCTCACAGCGGGAGCGCGGGAGACGCCTCCTCGTGCCACGATCTCTGACCGAAGCACCGGGAGGAATCCCCCGGCACAGACTCTCGAGCGCAGGGGCGCGCGGTGGCACCTCCGAGCCCCCGCGCCTGTCCCGGTACAGACTCCTCCAGATGCCTCCAGCACTGAAACACGACAATAACAATAACAGAGATACCTGTTCAGCCTTCGTCATTTTCTAACTGTCATGAGGGCATTATTCTATAGCGGCATATCAAACGTCACATTTCAGATTACCTTTGGAGCCCGCCAAATTATTTTCTACATCACGGATATAAATACAAAATGTGCCTAATAACCTGCCAGCGCCTTTGGTTTGTGTCACCACTTCTCATCAGCTCGATAATAATGATAAGATGGGGACTGATGTGTGTCTTTTTTTTTTTTTTTTTTTTGTTTGGATTTGTTTGGGCTTCTCTCACACACTTTTGCTTCCGTTGTTACGACCAGCGGAGTGAAACAAATAATAATATCACTTTTGTTAATTGATTTGTTGCAGCACCAGAGGCCATTTTACAGTCCACCTCATGCTTCCCTCGGGCTTATACAACGCTTTAGTTCTCATCATATTTACATTCATTATTTTGTAACATACTCGTAGCAGATCTGTAATTATTTTTGCATATGCAAATATAGGCCCTCATTCCAGTTGTAGAGGTATTGCTACCAACATAATAGCACTTGGAGGGTTTTTATTAAATATATTCTTATGGCCTGTAGCTTATGAAGCCACACACAGTTACAGCTATTTATAAATTCATTTATTTGATTTCAATCATCTTCGACCATATAAACTGTGTGGACTCTGAAACAGAGCCGAGAATAGAAAGAGGGGTTGACGACGCTATACACCTGCCTATAATTTTATTGTACGTTCAGTATCAAAATTTTATAATCTTAAATACTCCTGTTATTGGTTTATTTCTTAAGTATTTTTTTCGAATATTGTACAGTTTTATATATTACCCTTTTGAAGTCATTAATTTAAACAAATGCTCTTAGTTATTCATGCACTTAATTAGCTATGTAAAAAAAAAAAAAAAAAACACAACACAATATTTTCAGTAAGATTGAACTGTTTCGGCGGTTTTATTCCAAATTTCGATGACAGCTCAAGTAATTATTTATTTTCAGTATAAAGCTTGTATTATGTTTTGAAATAAACTGTATGTTGTAATAAACATTTTCTTGCTACAACTGTTCACTGTCAAACAGAATTCAACTTCTGATTAATGCGTATTGAATATTTAGAAGTAGGCTAAAAATCGATCAAAAATTTATTATTATTATTATTATTATTATTATTATTATTATTATTATTATAGAGAAAGCAATAATGCATAATGTATAACAAATTTTCTTTATTCGGTATTCCTTTAATTCATTTGGCATAATTTGAATATGGGTTCAATTTAAAATTGTGGCTGATTATAATGATACTAAACAGAATATTATGCTCCATTTATGTCTTTATACACACCAGTACAACAATGCTTAAGCAGCATAACCTTCACTTAGCTTCAATGTCATGTCAAAAGGCAACTTTTTCTCAAGTTTTTCATGCCACTAACAGCTGTAAAATATCCAGTGGTTCAACAGGACCTTGGCTGCAGGTCTGCAGGCTCTACGGATCACAGCAAACTGAGACGCTTTCTCCAGCAGTTCCACTGAAATGTTATTGTCCGGGCCCTCTGCCCTCCTCAATCAGACATGCGTGATTTATCGCCTGGGCCGCTGGGCCTGACAGCAAAACACAATGACACACACTCACACACACACACACACACACACACACACACACACACACACACACACACACACACACACACACACACACACACTTAGACACACACAATCAGAAGCAGATGAATCTCATTTCAAAGACTACAGCTGCGTATAATTGGCCATGCAAGGGCAAAATAGAGTGATATTCCTAAAAAAAAATAAAAAATGCCTAAAATAATTTAGACATGGTTTGGAAATAAGTAGGCCTATAGATGCAGCACTACTTAAATGATTCAAAAATAGAGCTGGAGAGGGAGAGTGAATGAGGGGAGAGGAGGAGAGGAGGAGAGGCGGAAGGGTGCTAGGCCTTGCCTTGAAATGGAGAGCCTGACTGGAATACTAATGCGTCTGAATTTATGCATCTCCTCAGTCTGCAGCCCTGAGAGAGGGGGGTGGGGGAGACAGAGAGAGGGAGAGAGAGAAAAGGGTGTGAGGGTGGAGGTGAAAGGGGGCGGTTATGTAGAAGAAGAGAAAAGTAAAACCATGGCTGATTGATTCCATCCATCTATTTTAGTTTGAAATAATCCCTGATTTCTGATGGTGTGTGTGTGTGTGTTGGGGGGGTGCCCCTGGATGGAAGGAGAGCCAGCAGCCGAGCAAACAAGCAAAGCAAGCCAAGGTCCAGAGCAGCACTGCAGTATCCTTGAGCCTCTTCCACCTCATGCTGCTTCACTGTGGATGCTTAGAAAACCTCCACTAGCACCCTCCAAATGTGTCTTTAGAGAGTCACTGATACCTCCACATAAATAACTTAGTAGTGAAAAAATGATTGACTTGGGAAAATGTGTAAAGGACAGTGAGAAAAATATAACAGGTGCAAGATGAAAGCACAGAGGTATTAAATCATGAATTTCAGGTAATTATTTTTCCAAAATGCTTGAGGTCGGATGACTCGTTTTTTTGCAGATAATTGAGCCTCTGAATCAGATCCTGAGTAAGAGCGAACTGATCATCAGACAGGACGGCAACAATAGAGAAGCAGAAGTAGTGACTTGTGTTTGGAGGATGAACGGTTTGTTTACTGGCGAGGGATAATGGGACCGGCTGACTCACACCTTTTTCATAATTGCATCTCAAACCTTCT